CGGCCTGGTGCCTCCCAGCGGCCTGGTGCCTCCCAGCGCCCTAGTGCCTCCCAGCGGCCTGGTGCCTCCCAGCGGCCTGGTGCCTCCCAGCGGCCTGGTCCCTCCCAGCGGCCTGGTGCCTCCCAGCGGCCTGGTGCCTCCCAGCGGCCTAGTGCCTCCCAGCGGCCTGGTGCCTCCCAGCGGCCTGGTGCCTCCCAGCGACCTGGTGCCTCCCAGCGGCCCGGTGCCTCCCAGCGACCTAGTGCCTCCCAGCGGCCTGGTTCCTCCCAGCGGCCTGGTGCCTCCCAGCGTCCTGGTGCCTCCCAGCGGCCTGGTGCCTCCCAGCGACCTGGTGCCTCCCAGCGGCCTGGTGCCTCCCAGCGGCCTAGTGCCTCCCAGCGGCCTAGTGCCTCCCAGCGGCCTGGTGCCTCCCAGCGGCCTGGTGCCTCCCAGCTGTGTAGTGCCTCCCAGCTGTGTAGTGCCTCCCAGCTGTGTAGTGCCTCCCAGCGGCCTGGTGCCTCCCAGCGGCCTGGTGCCTCCCAGCGCCCTAGTGCCTCCCAGCGGCCTGGTGCCTCCCAGCGGCCTGGTGCCTCCCAGCGGCCTGGTCCCTCCCAGCGGCCTGGTGCCTCCCAGCGGCCTGGTGCCTCCCAGCGGCCTAGTGCCTCCCAGCGGCCTGGTGCCTCCCAGCGGCCTGGTGCCTCCCAGCGGCCTGGTGCCTCCCAGCTGTGTAGTGCCTCCCAGCTGTGTAGTGCCTCCCAGCGGCCTAGTGCCTCCCAGCTTTGTAGTGCCTCCCAGCGGCCTGGTGCCTCCCAGCGGCCTGGTGCCTCCCAGCTGTGTAGTGCCTCCCAGCGGCCTGGTGCCTCCCAGCGACCTAGTGCCTCCCAGCGGCCTGGTGCCTCCCAGCGGCCTGGTGCCTCCCAGCGGCCTGGTGCCTCACAGCTGTGTAGTGCCTCCCAGCGGCCTGGTGCCTCCCAGCGGCCTGTTGCCTCCCAGTGACCTGGTGCCTCCCAGCGGCCTGGTGCCTCCCAGCGGCCTGGTGCCTCCCGGCGACCTAGTGCCTCCCAGCGGCCTGGTGCCTCCCAGCGGCCTGGTGCCTCCCAGCGGCCTGGTGCCTCCCAGCGGCCTGGTGCCTCCCAGCGGCCTGGTGCCTCCCAGCGGCCTGGTGCCTCCCAGCGGCCTGGTGCCTTCCAGCGGACTAGTGCCTCCCAGCGGCCTGGTGCCTCCCTGCGGCCTGGTGCCTCCCAGCGTCCTGGTGCCTCCCAGCTGTGTAGTGCCTCCCAGCGGCCTGGTGCCTCCCAGCGGCCTGGTGCCTCCCAGCGGCCTGGTGCCTCCCAGCGGCCTGGTGCTTCCCAGCGGCCTAGTGCCTCCCAGCGACCTAGTGCCTCCCAGCGGCCTAGTGCCTCCCAGCGGCCTAGTGCCTCCCAGCGACCTAGTGCCTCCCAGCGACCTAGTGCCTCCCAGCGGCCTAGTGCCTCCCAGCGACCTAGTGCCTCCCAGCGACCTAGTGCCTCCCAGCGACCTAGTGCCTCCCAGCGGCCTAGTGCCTCCCAGCGGCCTAGTGCCTCCCTGCGACCTAGTGCCTCCCAGTGACCTAGTGCCTCCCAGCGGCCTAGTGCCTTCCAGCGGCCTGGTGCCTCCCAGCGGCCTAGTGCCTCCCAGCGGCTTGGTGCCTCCCAGCGGCCTGGTGCCTCACAGCGGCCTGGTGCCTCCCAGCGGCCTGGTGCCTCCCAGCGGCCTGGTGCCTCACAGCGGCCTGGTGCCTCCCAGCGGCCTAGTGCCTCCCAGCTGTGTAGTGCCTCCCAGCGGCCTAGTGCCTCCCAGCGGCCTGGTGCCTCCCAGCGGCCTGGTGCCTCCCAGCGGCCTGGTGCCTCACAGCGGCCTGGTGCCTCCCAGCGGCCTTGTGCCTCCCAGCGGCCTGGTGCCTCACAGCGGCCTGGTGCCTCCCAGCGGCCTGGTGCCTCCCAGCGGCCCGGTGCCTCCCAGCGGCCTGGTGCCTCCCAGCGGCCTGGTGCCTCCCAGCGGCCCGGTGCCTCCCAGCGGCCTGGTGCCTCCCAGCGGCCTGGTGCCTCCCAGCGGGGTAGCTAAATAACTAAAACTTTAAATTAGTAACTAAAACAGTTTTGTCAGTATTAGTGAATCCGTCAATCAATACCAGCGCCGGCTGTTTAAAGATGTCTATTATTACTATTATGTCATGTTCAGAAACGACCATACACTTCTCCATGATCTTAATTACAATGCTTTATTAGTGGAAACACGATATATATATACATGTCGTACCTAGTAGCCAGAACTCACTTCTCAGCCTACTATGCATGGCCCGATTTGCCTAATAAGCCAAGTTTTCCTGAATTCATATATTTTCTCTATTTTTTTTCTTATGAAATGATAAAGCTACCCATTTCATTATGTATGAGGTCAATTTTATTTTATTGGAGTTAAAATTAACGTAGATATATGACCGAACCTAATCAACCCTACCTAACCTAACCTAACCTATCTTTATAGGTTACGTTAGGTTAGGTAGCAGAAAAAGTTAGGTTAGGTTAGGTTAGGTAGGTTAGGTAGTCGAAAAACAATTAATTCATGAAAACTTGGCTTATTAGGCAAATTGGGCCTTGCATAGTAGGCTGAGAAGTGCGTTCTGGCTACTAGGTACGACATACATATATATATATATATATATATATATATATATATATATATATATATATATATATATATATATATATATATATATATATATATATATATATATATATATATATATATATATATATATATACACTCTACCTTCCACTACCCACAACAAATCAGCTTAACGGTTCTAGCCCTCCTAAGGCAGCTGCCCGGTGAAAGTACTCTTTAGATCGTATAAGAAGATTTACGTTTGTTTTTCCCCACTAGCGAGCCTAAACATTTACATATAATGGCAACCCCTTCGAACCTGACCTGACCTGAAAATGCTGGGAGTACCACCACTCCAGTCTCATTAGTTAGTGTCTCGTGAACGTGTACACATCTCCAAGTAGCAGTGTACCAGTACTTCCTGCAGGTACTACCAGCCACTACTAGCAGGTACTACCAGCCACTACTAGCAGGTACTACCAGCAACTCTACAAGATACTACCAGCCACTCTTACGTCCAAGGGTCACTAGTGAGTATTTAATAATTTGTTTAGAATGATTACCGAGTGCGAGACAAATAGTTGCTGTGTGAGTGTATGTACTATTTGTGCGTGTGCGTGTGCGTGTGAGAGTGCGTGTCCGTGTGAGAGTGCGTGTGCGTACTTCCTTAGCTGTATTCGCCTAGTTGAGCGTAAAGGGTTGTTTAGTTAGATTATGTATAGAAAATACTTCCCTAGTTGTATTCACCTAGTTGTGCTTGAAGGGTGGGGGGGGGGGGGGGCTAAGACAAATAGTTACCGTGTGAGTGTATTTACTAATTTGTGTGTGTACTCACCTATATGTACTCACCTATATGTGCTTGCAGGATCGAGCATTGACTCTTGGATCCCGCCTTTCCAGCTATCGGTTGTTTACAGCAATGACTCCTGTCCCATTTCCCTATCATACCTAGTTTTAAAAGTATGAATAGTATTTGCTTCCACAACCTGTTCCCCAAGTGCATTCCATTTTTCCACTACTCTCACGCTAAAAGAAAACTTCCTAACATCTCTGTGACTCATCTGAGTTTTCAGTTTCCACCCATGTCCCCTCGTTCTGTTATTATTACGTGTGAACATTTCATCTATTTCCACTTTGTCAATTCCCCTGAGTATTTTATATGTCCCTATCATATCTCCTCTCTCCCTTCTTTTCTCTAGTGTCGTAAGGTTCAGTTCCTTCAGCCGCTCTTCATATCCCATCCCTCGTAACTCTGGGACAAGCCTCGTCGCAAACCTCTGAACCTTCTCCAGTTTCTTTATGTGTTTCTTCAGGTGGGGGCTCCATGATGGCGCGGCATACTCTAAGACGGGTCTCACGTAGGCAGTGTAAAGCGCCCTAAAAGCCTCCTCATTTAGGTTTCTGAATGAAGTTCTAATTTTCGCCAGTGTAGAGTACGCTGCTGTCGTTATCCTATTTATATGTGCCTCAGGAGTTAGATTAGGTGTCACATCCACTCCCAGGTCTCTTTCTCGAATCGTTACAGGTAGGCTGTTCCCCTTCATTGTGTATTGTCCCTTTGGTCTCCTGTCACCTGATCCCATTTCCATAACTTTACATTTACTGGTGTTAAACTCCAGTAGCCATTTCCCTGACCATCTCTGCAGCCTGTTTAAGTCCTCTTGGAGGATCCTACAATCCTCGTCTGTCACAACTCTTCTCATTAATTTTGCGTCATCCGCAAACATTGACATGTATGATTCCACTCCTGTAAACATATCATTTACGTAAATTAGAAAGAGGATTGGTCCCAGCACCGATCCTTGAGGTACTCCACTTGTTACTGTTCGCCAGTCCGACTTCTCGCCCCTTACCATTACCCTCTGGCTCCTTCCTGTTAGGTAGTTCTTCACCCATACTAGGGCCTTTCCGCTTACTCCTGCCTGCCTCTCAAGTTTGTATAGCAGTCTCATGTGCGGTACTGTATCAAAGGCCTTTTGGCAGTCAAGAAATATGCAGTCTACCCAGCCTTCTCTGTCCTGCCTTATCCTTGTTACTTTATCATAGAATTCTAAAAGGTTTGTTAGGCATGATTTCCCTGTCCAGAACCCATGTTGGTGCTTGTTTACAAACCCAATGCTCTCCAGGTGCTCAACAAGTCTTAGCCTAATTATTCTTTCAAGTATTTTGCAGGGGATGGTTGTCAGTGATACGGGTCTGTAGTTAGGTGCCTCCTCCCTATCACCTTTCTTGAAAATCGGTACGACATTTGCCTCCTTCCAGCAACTGGGCAATTCTCCCGACATAAGTGACTCATTAAAGATCATTGCCAGAGGCACGCTGAGAGCCTGCGCAGCCTCTTTAAGTATCCACGGTGATACTTTGTCTGGTCCAACAGCTTTATTTGCATCCAGTGTTGTCAACTGTTTCATTACCTCCTCTGCTGTCACCTCTATATCTGATAGTCTTTCATCTAGGGTAATCGCTTCTAACAATGGGAGCTGCTCAGGCTCGGTTGTGAACACTCCATGGAAATTTGCATTCAGTACCTCGCAGATTTCCTTGTCGCGTTCTGTATATGCCCCCTCTGTTTTCCTCAGTCTTTTCACTTGGTCATTTACCGACATCTTCCTTCTTATATGGCTATGTAGTAATTTAGGTTGTTTTTTCGCTTTGACTGCAATATCATTCTCATAATTTCTTTCCGACACTCGTCTTATGTTAATGTAATCATTCCTAGCTCTGTTACATCTAATCCTGTTGTCCTCTGTCCTTTGTCTTCTGTACTTCCTCCACTCCCTCCTTCTTCTCACCTTTGCTTCCTGACTTCTATTAAACCATGGGTTATTTTATTCCCTCCTGCTTTTTTCCTTTATTGTTGGAATAAATCTCTCTTCAGCCTCCTTGCATTTCAATATGACTTGGTTCATCATACCTTGCACTGTTTTTCCTCTAAGTTCTTCCTCCCACTGCTCGTCTCCCAGGTAGTCCCTTATCCTTCTGTAGTCCCCTTTTCTGTAATCAAGTCTCCTTTCCCAGACCTCTTATCCTTTGGTCACAATTTTAAGCTCCATCATGTAGTCAAAGACTAGGACACAATGGTCACTGGCTCCTAGTGGTATTTCATGTTCCAACTGCTCGATGTCTTCTACATTCTAGGTGTAAATGAGATCTAATAGGCTGGGCGTATCCCCTCCTCTTTCCCTAGTATCTTCCTTCACATGTTGTGTTAGGAAATTCCTGTCAATAACGTCTACCAGCTTCGCTCCCCAGGTCTCCTCCCCGCCATGGGGATTCCTCGTTTCCAAATCTATCTCTTCGTGATTTAGGTCCCCCATGACCAGCAGCTTCGCTCTCATTCTATGCGCTTTAGTTGCTGCCCTCTGCAGTTCATCTATACATGTCTTGTTGCTGTCCTCGTACTCCTGCCTGGGCCTTCTACTGTTTGGTGGGGGATTGTAGAGTATCAAGATTACAATCTTCTTCCCATCCACTGTCAGAGTTCCATGTATGGAGCTCGTGCTTTCATTGGTACCCGGATTTTCCAGCTCATCAAACTTCCATTTCCGCTTTATTAGGAAAGCCACTCCTCCTCCCCGTCTCTGTGTCGTTTCTTTTCTTATCACCTGGTACCCCTCTGGAAAGATTGCATCCGAGACCATGCCATTTATTTTAGTTTCCACCATTGCCACTATGTCTGGGTGTGTGTGTGTGTGTATGTGTGTGTGTGTGTGTGTGTGTGGGTCATAGTGTGTGTGTGTGTGTGTGTGTGTGTGTGTGTGTGTGTGTGTGTGTGTGTGTGTGTGTGTGTGTACACACACACACACACACAAACACACACACACACACACACACACACACACACACACACACACACACACACACACACACACACACACACACACACACACACACACACACACACACACACACACACACACACACACACACACACACACACACACACACACACACACACACACACACACACACACACACACACACACACACACACACACACACACACTCACTGTGTGTGTGTGTGGTTGTGGGTGTGCACATTTGGCTCGATAGCCTTCGACGTCATGGCTTTACCGTCACTCCCCCTTCACTGACCCCCCACCCCTAATCAGTATCGGTGCAACCCTGTATCCACCTCACAAATCCTCAGGCACAGCTTCCTCCACCAGTAGAACATTCACCAAGGAGGAAATTAAGAAGGGACAGAAGAAAGTAGTGAAGAGATGGTACTATAAATAAGCAAATGAAAGCTAAGGAAAACCCAGACATAATAGCTCATAGAAACAAAGCTGACGAAAAGAATAACAAATGCAGTGTTCCCACAGGACTATTATGTTATGAGGAAAGAGAGAGAAGGAAGAGGTGGGGGTGGTGTAGCTCTGCTGGTAAGAAAAGGCTGGGATTTTGAGGAGTTGGTTGTTCAGGGATGTGAAGGTTTCAGTGACTACATAATAGGAACAATAACAACTGGAGGGCAAAAAATTATAGTCATAGTCATATATAATCCACCACCAAATGACAGAAGACCCAGACAGGAATATGATAGAAACAACATGGCTACCATTAACATAATAGAGAGAGCAGCTTCTGTTGCTAGCAGGAATGGATCTGGACTATTAATCATGGGAGACTTCAACCATGGGGAAGATAGATATGGAGAACAGAGACCCGCATGGAGGACCAGAAACATGGAGAGCTAAGCTGCTGGACGTGGCAACAAGAAACTTTCTAAGCCAGCACATCAAGGATCCAACAAGAATGAGAGGAGGAGAAGATGAACCAGCAATGCTTGATCTAATATTTAACCTAAATGAGTGGGATATAAGGAAAGTCAAGATGGAAGCACCCTTGGGAATGAGTGATCACAGTGTATTGAACTTTGAGTACCTGGTAGAGCTAGGAATTATCCCCCCCCCCCCCCCCCCAAAAAAGAACTAGGAAACAAAAGGCTGGCATACCGAAAGGGAAGTTATGAGGAGATGAGAAGCTTCCTAAGGGACACCTACCCTTGGGACACAGTCCTCAGAGCTAAGTCTGTACAAGATATGATGGACTATGTCACCCAAAAGTGTCAGGAGGCAGTAAGCAGATACATCCCGGCCCAAAAGGAAAAATCCGAGAAGCAAAAGAAGAATCCATGGTATAATAGGGCATGCATGGAAGCAAAGAAACTGAACAGAAGGGCGTGGAGGAACTTCCGGAATAACAGAACACCAGAAAGCAGAGTGAGATACCAGAAAACCAGGAATGAGTATGTCAGGGTGAGAAGAGAAGCAGAGAAAAGTTATGAAAATGATATAGCAAACAAAGCCAAGACCGAACCAAAGCGATTTTCCTTCTGATGTGACTCCACAGTCACATCAGAAGGAAAACAACAGTGAAAGAACAGGTAGTGAAACTTAGAACAGGCGAGGACAGCTATACAGAGAATGACAAAGAGGTGTGTGATGAACTCAACAAGAGGTTCCAGGAGGTCTTCACAATAGAACAAGGTGAGGTCACTGTGCTAGCAGAAAGGGACGTAAACCAGGCGGCCTTGGAAGAGTTCGAAATTACGAGAGAGGAGGTCAAGAGACACCTGCTAGTTCTGGATGTTAGAAAGGCTGTTGGTCCAGACGGGATCTCACCATGGATACTGAAAGAGTGTGCAGAGGCACTTTGCTTGCCACTCTCCATAGTGTATAGTAGGTCACTGGAGACAGGAGACCTACCAGAAGTATGGAAGACGGCGAATGTGGTCCCAATATACAAAAGGGCGACAGGCAAGAGGCACTGAACTACAGGCCAGTGTCCTTAACTTGTATACCATGCAAGGTGATAGAGAAGATCGTGAGAAAAAACCTGGTTGCACATCTGGAGAGAAGGGACTTCGTGACAAATCGCCAACATGGGTTCAGGGAGGGTAAATCTTGCCTGACTGCCTTAATAGAATTCTACGACCAGGTGACACATATTAAGCAAGAAAGAGAGGGCTGGGCGGACTGCATTTTCTTGGATTGTTGGAAAGCCTTTGAAACAGTACCGCATAAGAGGCTGATACATAAGCTGGAGAGACAGGCAGGTGTAGCTGGTAAGGTGCTCCAGTGGATATGGGGAGCACCTTCCTAAGCAATAGGAAGCAGAGAGTTACGGTGAGGGCTGAGACCTCTGATTGGCGTGAAGTCACCAGTGGAGTCCCACAAGGCTCTGTACTCGGTCCTATCTTGTTACTGATATATGTAAATGATCTCCCGGAGGGTATAGATTCATTTCTCTCAATGTTTGCGGATGATGCCAAAATTATGAGAAGGATTAAGACAGAAGAGGACTGTTTGAGGCTTCAAGAAGACCTAGACAAACTGAAGGAATGGTCGAACAAGTGGTTATTAGAGTTCAACCCAACCAAATGTAATGTAATGAAGATAGGTGTAGGGAGCAGGAGGCCAAATACAAGGTATCATCTGGGAGAGGAAATCCTTCAGGAGTCAGAGAAAGAAAAAGACTTGGGAGTTGATATCACGCCAGACCTGTCTCCTGCAGCACATATCAAGAGGATAACATCAGCGGCATATGCCAGGCTGGCCAACATACGAACGGCATTCAGAAACTTGTGTAAAGAATCATTCAGAACTTTGTATACCACATATGTCAGGCCAATTCTGGAGTATGCAGCCCCAGCATGGTGTCCATATCTAGTCAAGGATAAGACTAAACTGGAAAAGGTTCAAAGGTTTGCCACCAGACTAGAACCCGAGCTGAGAGGTATGAGCTATGAGGAGAGACTGCGGGAATTTAACCTCAATTCGCTGGAAGACAGAAGAGTTAGGGGGGACATGATCACTACATTCAAGATTCTCAAGGGAATCGATAGGGTAGATAAAGACAGGCTATTTAACACAAGGGGCACACGCACTAGGAGACACAGGTGGAAACTGAGCGCCCAAATGAGCCACAGAGATATTAGAAAGAACTTTTTTTAGTGTCAGAGTGGTTGACAGAAGGAATGCATTAGGAAGTAATGTGGTGGAGGCTGACTCCATACACAGTTTCAAGTGTAGATATGATAAAGCCCAATAGGCTCAGGAACCTGTACACCTGTTGATTGACGGTTGAGAGGCGGGACCAAAGAGCCAGAGCTCAACCTCGCAAGCACAACTAGGTTAGTACACACAAAAAAACATTCTTCCACTGAGAGGAGGGACCCAAGAACTGAAGCTCAACCCTACATAAGCACTATTAGGGTTACATGACACAAACACAGATGCCCAGGCGGGGCCCAAGAACTGAAACCCAACCCCCACGTAAGCTTAATTAGGGTTACACCACTCAAAAACAGATGCCCATCGCTGATAATCGCATTTAATTAGCCATTAAGAACTGATAAGCCCACTTATTAATGCACTAAGCATGTTCCAAGATAACACATCTGATAACAACACCTATGACATCAGATCTGGCGCGATAACAGGTGTCTCGCCCTGTCAATCAGGGAACTACTACCCTGAACTATGATGTGACCCATTACACTGCTCCCTGAACTATGATGTGACCCATTACACTGTTCCCTGAACTATGATGTGACCCATTACACTGCTCCCTGAACTATGATGTGACCCACCACACTGCTCCCTGAACTATGCTGTGACCCATTACACTGCTCCCTGAACTATGATGTGACCCACCACACTGCTCCCTGAACTATGATGTGACCCATCACACTGCTCCCTGAACTATGATGTGACCCATTACACTGCTCCCTGAACTATGATGTGACCCATCACACTGCTCCCTGAACTATGATGTGACCCATTACACTGCTCCCTGAACTATGATGTGACCCACCACACTGCTCCCTGAACTATGATGTGACCCACCACACTGCTCCCTGAACTATGATGTGACCCACCACACTGCTCCCTGAACTTTGATGTGACCCACCACACTGCTCCCTGAACTATGATGTGACCCATCACACTGCTCCCTGAACTATGATGTGACCCACCACACTGCTCCCTGAACTATGCTGTGACCCACCACACTGCTCCCTGAACTACTTATGGTGTTTACTGACTACTAATGGTGTTCACAGAACTACTTATGGTGTTCACAGGACTACTTATGGTGTTCACAGGACTACTTATGTGATCATTGGACTACATATCGTGTTCACAGGACTACTTACGTAATAATAGGACTACTTATCGTGTTCGCAGGACTACTTACGTAATAATAGGACTACATATGGTGTTCACTAGACTACTTATGGTGTTCACAGGACTACACATGGTGTTCACAGGACTTCATATGGTATTCACTGGACTACTTATGCTGTTCACAGAACTACTTATGATGTTCACAAGACTATTTATGTGATCATAGGACTACTTATGGTGTTCACAGGACTACTTATGGTGTTCACAGGACTACTTATGGTGTTCACAGTACTACTTATGGTGTTCACAGGACTACTTATGGTGCTCACAAGACTACTTATGGTGTTCACAGGACTACTTATGGTGCTCACAAGACTACTTATGGTGTTCACAGGACTACTTATGGTGTTCACAGGACTACTTATGGTGTTCACAGGACTACTTATGGTGTTCACAGGACTACTTATGGTGTTCACAGGACTACTTATGGTGTTCACAGGACTACTTATGGTGTTCACAAGACTACTTATGGTGTTCACAAGACTACTTATGGTGCTCACAAGACTACTTATGGTGTTCACAGGACTACTTATGGTGTTCACAGGACTACTTATGGTGTTCACAGGACTACTTGTGCACAACAATGTTCCTAGGCGTAGTAGTGGTTATGTGTTTAGGCGATTTGTTGAAAGTTTGGATTAAATATTTGTTTGGACGAAAAAAAAAATTTCAAGAATTATCTGATGTATGAATTTGTAGACAAATGTTTTGTTTACAGATTTCTCCTCCCTTTTCAATGTTTTGAAACATCACATTTGGATCTGAAATCTGGTACAAGATCTATCGGGACACTTGATGTGTTTGATAACATAAAAGCCATTGAACTCACACTAAACATTTTGAAACGTTATGGTGACAATGGCACTTTTAAATATTTCCTAAACCTAAAAAAACTCACGACAGTCCGTGAAATTCGCGAGACAGGACACATCCGGAGCCTTCAAATACAATTTTCCCTTCATCACTGGTACAACTGCTGATCTCTTGTCTCTAAGATTTACTAAATTCAGGTCCTTTGAAGAAATTGCAAAAGTCAATATGTGTGCAGACAGTGTAACATTACACAACTGAATTTAGAAATGTTGCAGTGGAATGATTTGGATAATTTTGAGATGTAATTCATTGATTTACAAAGAAACTCAATTTAGAGGCAAATATTTGTCGACTTAAGACGCTGGATGGACTCCTAAGTCAATTATTTACACAAGTAATCCAACACATCCCCGAGGCTGACCCAACACATCCCCGAGGCTGACCCAACACATCCCCGAGGCTGACCCAACACATCCCCGAGGCTGACGCAACACATCCCCGAGACTGACGCAACACATCCCCGAGGCTGACGCAACACATCCCCGAGGCTGACCCAACACATCCCCGAGGCTGACCCGACACATCCCCGAGGCTGACGCGACACATCCCCGAGGCTGACGCGACACATCCCCGAGGCTGACCCAACACATCCCCGAGGCTGACCCAACACATCCCCGAGGCTGACCCAACCAACACATCCCCGTGGCTGACCCAACACCCAATGGCTGACCCAACACATCCCCGAGGCTGACCCAACACATCCCCGAGGCTGACCCAACACATCTCCGAGGCTGACCCAACACACCCCGAGGCTGACCCAACACACCCCCGAGGCTGACCCAACACATCCCCGAGGCTGACGCAACACATCCCCGAGGCTGACCCAACACACCCCGAGGCTGACCCAACACATCCCCGAGGCTGACGCAACACATCCCCGAGGCTGACCCAACCAACACATCCCCGAGGCTGACCCGACACATCTCCGAGGCTGACCCAACCAACACATCCCCGAGGCTGACCCCAACACATCACCGATGCTGACCCAACACATCCCCGAGGCTGACCCAACACATCTCCGAGGCTGACCCAACACACCCTGAGGCTGACCCAACACATCCCCGAGGCTGACCCAACACATCCCCGAGGCTGACCCAACCAACACATCCCCGAGGCTGACCCAACACACCCCGAGGCTGATCCAATACATCCCCGAGGCTGACCCAACACATCCCCGAGGCTGACCCAACACATCCCCGTGGTTGACCCAACACACCCCGAGGCTGATCCAATACATCCCCGAGGCTGATCCAATACATCCCCGAGGCTGATTCAATACATCCCCGAGGCTGACCCAACACATCCCCGAGGCTGACCCAACACATCCCCGTGGTTGACCCAACACACCCCGAGGCTGATCCACTACATCCCCGAGGCTGATCCAATACATCCCCGAGGCTGATCCAATACATCCCCGAGGCTGACCCAACACATCCCCGAGGCTGACCCAACCAACACATCCCCGAGGCTGACCCAACACATCCCCGTGGTTGACCCAACACACCCCGAGGCTGATCCAATACATCCCCGAGGCTGATCCAATACATCTCCGAGGATGATCCAATACATCCCAGAGGCTGACCCAACACATCCCCGAGGCTGACCCAACACATCCCCGAGGCTGACCCAACACATCTCCGAGGCTGACCCAACACACCCCGAGGCTGACCCAACATATCCCCGTGGTTGACCCAACACATCCCCGAGGCTGACATAACCAACACATCCCCGAGGCTGACCCAACACACCCCGAGGCTGATCCAATACATCCCCGAGGCTGACCCAACACACCCCGAGGCTGATCCAATACATCCCCGAGGCTGACCCAACACATCCCCGAGGCTTACCCAACACATCCCCGAGGCTGACCCAACACACCCCGAGGCTGACCCAACACATCCCCGTGGCTGACCCAACCAACACATCCCCGAGGCTGACCCAACCAACACATCCCCGAGGCTGACCCAACACATCCCCGAGGCTGATCCAATACATCTCCGAGGCTGATCCAATACATCCCCGAGGCTGACCCAACACATCCCCGAGGCTGACCCAACACATCCCCGAGGCTGACCCAACACATCTCCGAGGCTGACCCAACACACCCCGAGGCTGACCCAACACATCCCCGTGGTTGACCCAACACATCCCCGAGGCTGACGCAACCAACACATCCCCGAGGCTGACCCAACACACCCCGAGGCTGATCCAATACATCCCCGAGGCTGACCCAACACACCCCGAGGCTGATCCAATACATCCCCGAGGCTGACCCAACACATCCCCGTGGCTGACCCAACACACCCCGAGGCTGACCCAACACATCCCCGTGGCTGACCCAACACATCCCCGAGGCTGACCCAACACATCCCCGACGCTGACCCAACACCCCCCGAGGCTGACCCAACACATCCCCGTGGCTGACCCAACCAACACATCCCCGAGGCTGACCCAACCAACACATCCCCGAGGCTGACCCAACACATCCCCGAGGCTGACCCAACCAACACATCCCCGAGGCCGACTCAACACATCCCCGTGGCTGACCCAACACATCCCCGAGGCTAACCCAACACACCCCAGAGGCTGACCTAACACATCCCCGAGGCTGACCCAACACACCCCCGAGGCTAACCCAACACACCCCAGAGGCTGACCTAACACATCCCCGAGGCTGACCCAACACACCCCAGAGGCTGACCCAACTCATCCCCGAGGCTGACCCAACACATCCCTGAGGCTGACCCAACACACCCCAGAGGCTGACCCAACACATCCCTGAGGCTGACCCAACACACACCATCAACATCTACAGACAATGCCATCCGCCCACACACAGCTGCCACTGGTGGACACAAATCGTGTGAAGTGATGCAGGACACGCTGCTAAATTACTCCTTAGCCCACCGTCCACAAGACACTCCCGGGTTGACTTGCCACAACCACCAGCACCAGGAGTAAGAAACCCTCAGGTCTAACAAACCTCCCAACGACCTGACACTGACTGACACACCACATGAACCACACACACACACTCACCCCTACCACAAACCCTCCAACCACTCTCACGTACTCAACACGGTGTACTACCTGCACGTCAAAGAAAATCGGTGCAATCACATCCCAGACGTAAAGATCTGAAATACGACAACTGAACCTAACCCATCCTCAACTAACCTACACCAACCTAACCTAACCTTATACACATTAACCCCATGTTACTTAACACATCCCAGACGTAAAGATCTGAAATACGACAACTGAACCTAACCCATCCTCAACTAACCTACACCAACCTAACCTAACCTTATACACATTAACCCCATGTTACTTAATGTACTATTATATATTATAATGTACTATTATAAAGGACAACCTCTGTCACATCACGACAACTGGTGCACCACGGTGAGTGCAACATCTATCAACATGAGCACTCGTGCAGTCATCTGGAGAAGGACCCTCCATGCACACTGCACGTATCACCAAGAAGAAGAAGACTCGAACTAGAAAATATAGCAAGAGATCGAGGTTATAAACTCTGGAATTCCATTCCTGAAACTTTTGATGGTTTGAAAATATGCCAATGTTATTATTACCATTATATCCATCGACATATTCATGCGAGTCATTGTTGTCAGTGATGATCGTTGTCGAGTGTGACTACAGGAGTGACCTCACTGTTGAGCTCAGCGCCGCGGTACAGCGCTCTCTCTCACAGGAAAATAACCTTATTTTCTTTGCTTATATATTTTTGTTTTATAATAGTAACCAAATCATATAATTTCATGTTGCATTTATTGCTGCTCCAGATAAAATAACATAAAACACTAGGATAATTATTTATTTATTTTATTTATTGTTAAAAACATTCATTTAAATTTGATTAATAGATGAAGTCTAAAATACTTTGATCTATTTATCTCTCTGTTATACTTTTAATGTTAACAGTAAAACAATAAACATTCACGCCAATAAGAACCATTTTCCATAAAAAAGTATTATTATTGTTACTAATTAATTGATTTCACTTCTTGGGAAATACTAATTATCAATAACCAATGAGTCTTAAAACCATTTACAATAGTTACTGCTCGCCTGAACACACTTACTTAAGAATGTCTTCAACCATTTGTTTCTCTTTCTCCATAATAAATAGTGACACACAAATATAATAATTATAAATTATAATCTGCGGCTCAAAATTCCCCGTGGACACACGACGAAAAATTTCAGAAGATTATTGCCAGTTTGGGGCCTCGCTGTCATGAAGGTTGACCAGGATGCAAGCCACAACAGGTCACTAGGTCCCAGGTCATATTTATTTTTCTATTTGCAACTAAAATAATAAAACCATGAACCAAAATCGATTTTTTTTTATCTTCATATGAAATTACAAAACGGAATAGACCACCTGTGTTGTGGTGAACTACTTCTGGCAGCCTAACAGCCCCGGACCTGTAAACAGCTCTTATTAGCGCCTTAAGACAGCACATAATTTCCCGGAAACAGTAGCAAGCGCGACTCATCGCTAAGTGAAAGCGCTTAAATTAAGTTTTATTTAGTTTAGTTAACAGAACAAGTTGGCCAGCCCTGTTTCAGTTATCGAGCCGGTGTTTACAAGTGGCACCACCGCGTGGGAGTCAGCCAATCACAGTTAAGGTCCTTACAATCTCATCCAATCAGCTTAAAGCGAGAACCGAAACCAATGCCATGTTTTTTTATTCCATTCTGACGCCATCTTCCTAGGCATTATAGGCCGAGAGGCTATTCAGATTTAAACAACATAATAATGTTTCTGGTTAACTCATGAGACAAAACTGCTCTATTTAGTTGAGCTTCTGGCAATACTAAAAGCCGCAGTCAGCAGGGAATATGGCAACACTGTCTGGTGATCAAAAGGTATTGCCAGGGAACCTTTTTAGCAGACGGGATAAGTGCGTATTTTGTTTAGTCTGGCGCGTCTTTATAACTCATGTTATATGGATTGTTAGGATTCCAATTCTGAGAACCAACTGGTTTTGAGTTTGTTCATTACTGATGACTAAAGTAAATTGGGGGGATTTATTTATAGTAAGAGAGAGAGAGAGAGAGAGAGAGAGAGAGAGAGAGAGAGAGAGAGAGAGAGAGAGAGAGAGAGAGAGAGAGAGAGAGAGAGAGAGAGAGAGAGAGAGAGAGAGAGAGAGAGAGAGAGAGCAGAGAAAAAGACAGACAGACAAACACACACACACACACAGACACACACACACACACACACACACACACACACACACACACACACACACACACACACACACACACAGAAAGACAGACAGACAGACAGACGTGTGTAGCCAGCTGGCAGAATTCAACAACTGTATTTGATGGAAGAATTCCCTCCAGTCTTTCCCCACAGTTCAGACCTATCCCAATTCTTTCATCCTATTGTTAATATTTAAAACAATTCATATATTTAGTTTCCATTTCCCGGCGTTTGCTGGACGGATAAAAGTGTTGAATTTCTATATACAAAAATCCGAGGCCAGAGAGGACACTTGCTTTTCTACAATAATTGAAATTTCGGATTCTTTTAGTGGACAAAGAGCATTTTTTTTCGTATTTAGGAAAAACAAGAGAGCCATTGTGTAAATTGTAAATGACTTGATGTCTTTTGTTTGGAGTTGGGAACTTATATGTGATGGGCAGAGGGCTGTATGTGTGTGTGTGTGTATTCACCTGTTTGTGCCTACAGGAGCTGGCTGATAGCTCTTGGACACCCGTCTTTTTAACCGTCGATTCTCTGATATTATAACACATACACACACGCACCCCTCCCCACACACACGCACCCCCCCCACCACACACACGCACCCCCCCACCACACACACGCACTCCTCCCCACACACGCGCACCCCCCACCACACACACGCGCACCCCCCCACCACACACACGCACACACACACACACCCACACACACATTCTCTCTCTCTCTCACACACACACACACACACACCCACGCCCCCACCCCACACACAATACACCAGTGTTCCCTTCACCCTCTTGTGTGCATATGCTAGACTGGCCAACATAAGAACTACGTTTAGAAACTTGTCTAAGGAATTGTCTAAGGCAAACCTGTATACCACTTATGTCAGACCAATCCTGGAGTATGCAGCTCCAACCTGGAGTCCATACCTAGTTAAACACACGAAAAAGTAAGAAAAGATTCAGAGGTATGCCACCAAACTAGTCCCGGAACTGAGAGGAATAAGCTACAAGGAAAGGCTAAGGAGCTGAACCTTACATCCCTGGAAAACAGAAAAGTAAGGGGGAGACATGATAACCACATACAAAATTCTCAGAGGAATTGACAGGGTGAACAAAGGCAAACTTTTTAGCACGGGTGGAACAAGAACAAGGGGACACAGGTGGAAACTTAGTACCCAAATTAGCCACAGAGACGTTAAAAAAAATCAGTGTCAGAGTAGTTAAGAGATGGAATGCATAAGGCAGTGATGTGGTGGAGGCTGACTCCAAACACAGTTTCAAATGTAGATATGATAGAGCCCAGTAGGCTCAGGAATCTGTACACCAGTTGATTGACGGTTGAGAGGCGGAACCAAAGAGCCAGAGCTCAACCCCCGCAAGCACAACTAGGCAAGTACAACTAGGTAGGTACATGCTGGGAAGACGGGACACCACGAGTGATATAGAGGGGTAAAATAGCCTAAGCTACTCTATCCCTTTGAGACGTATTTCTTTCTTACCTCAATAAACATGCTTGAACTTGAACACCACGAGCGTAGCCTGTAACTACACTTAATTTAAGTAATTACGTGCACATACACACACACTCACACACAAACACACACACACACACACACACACACACACACACACACACACACACACACACACACACACACACACACACACACACACACACACACACACACACACACGCAGGACCAAAGAGCCAGAGCTCAACCCCCACAAACACAACTAGGTGAGTACACACACACACACACACACACACACACACACACACACACACACACAAACACACACAAACATACTTTTTCTCTCTCAAACGCACACACATGGGCCTCAGGTGCCGAATAGAGAGCGCTCGGAGGTCATATAGTCAGTCCTATGGACCCTGGTTCGATTCCTGGCCGAGGCAGAAACAAATTGGCAGAGTTTCTTTCATTTGATGCTTTTGTTCACCTAATAATAAAAAGGTGCTTTGGAGTTAGACAGCTGTTGTGGAAGGTTGCCCCGAGGCTCAACTGCAGCAAGTACAATTAGGTGAGTACACGCACCCGCGCACACACACACTCATACACGCACACACAGTCACATTAGGAGGAAAACAGCAGTAAAGAAACAGGTAATGAAACTGAGAAAAGGGGAGAACAGATACACAGATAATGACAAAAAATATTAACAAGAGATTCCAGGAGGCCTTCACAATAAAGCAAGGAAAGTCCCTGAACTGAGAAAAGTAGAGGTAACCCAAGCAACCCGTGAGGAATTTGAACTTACGAGTGTTGAGGTCAAAAGGAATCTGTTTGAGCTGAATGTGACAAAGGCTGTTGGGCCTGACAGAATCTCATGATAGATACTACAAGAGGGTGCAGAACCACTAGGTGTGCCATTCTCCATGGTGTATAAGAGATCACTGGAAACAGGGAACCTACTGGAAAGTTAAAAGACAGCTAATCTTGTCCCATTATACAAAAAGGGTGACAGGCAAAAGGCAATGAACTACAGACCAGTTTCTCTACCAATATGCCATGCACAGGGTCGAGGATGATAAATCGTGCCCCCTAAGGTTCCATAAAATTCTCTGACCAGGTGACCAAAATTAGGCAAGAAAGAGAAGGTGGGCAGACTGCATTCTATTTTTTAGGCTTTCAGAAAGTCTTTGAAAAAGTACCCCATAAGAGCCTAGTAGAGAGGCGAGAGAATCAGGCAGCAATACTAGGTAATGTACTCCAGTGGATACAGCCTATATCTAAGCAACAGGAAACAGCGAGTTACTCAAATTTAACACATGAGGCACACACACAAGGAGACACAGGTGGAAAAATAGTACCCAAATCCTGTAATATGGGATTGGTTGGCTGGCCAGCGTCGGGTGAAGGTGTGGAAGCGACCTGCTCCCAGTGTTGCCCTTGCTGTCGGCGTGTCCAGACGGTGGGCGCAGCCCTTCGGCCGGTGGTTAGACATGACGGGGCAACCCCTTTCTCCTGTCTGCCGTTCAGAGACGATTGAACTGGTTTTCTCTGGCAGTGCATTGTACCCGGCAGTGGAAGTGGTAGTCCTGGGTATTTTCCGTGTTAACATAGCGGATGTATGTGGAGTGCAGCTTCTCATGAACCACCGGGCGCTCGTTAAGTTTAGCTCTCCGGATGTTTACAAGGACTTAGTGGCTGTTATGATGGTCGTTCGTTCTCCCTCCCTGATGACAGTGGTACTGTCACTATCTCCCATCGCTGCTGCTCCCTCACATATGTGGCACAGCATGGCCCCTGACGTGCCTCCTCCTGTGATGCAGCCCGCTGTGAAAGTGTCTGGTGAGGTTGACCAGGATGACCGGCCTGTTGGTGCCGATGTTTTCGACGAAATATGTACTAGCGAGGCGCCTTTACAGTGGAGCGGATTTTGACGATCCCTCTGTGTAACTATAACATGTGAAGGATAGATGAAATTGTTTATGTAATAATCTAGGATGAAGTCTGATAAAGACCTTTTGTGCCCTCTGTAATGCTTCTTGTACTACCGCTCACAGGATGGGTATGGGGTGCACAATAAACTAGCTGCCTCCAGCGGCAACAATCAAACCTCTGTGCCCATCTATTATTTGGATACCTGTCAATCCTGATACGGAGTGTCTCCGGTTTCCAGTGAATTATGAGTAGGTGTTGCATAGCTTGCTCTCATCTTCCGTTTGTTATGTCTGCTGTGGGCCCGTCAGGCGTATGGATGTGTGCCTTGACTTTGTTTATGTTCCGTGTTTACTTTTTATCCAATGGGTCCCAGTGCGATGTAGTATACTCCTTACTTAAGTTGTAGATCAATTTGTGACGCCTTAAACGCCACATACCACCCTCCAATGTGGCTAGTCTAACATATGCCTCTGTTCTCGTCGCCGCTCCTCTATCTATGGCTCGATGCAACAAGCACTTTTGTCACCCTTCTTATTCTCATACACGTGTCTCCCTACATCTGTACTAGTGCAGTCATCAAGAGGACGAACCCTTCATGCAAACTTCACTTATTATCAAGAAGAAGAAGAGTGTGGGCTTGTACCCCTAGTCATTGAAGCTACTGTGGTTCGGATTCGCGCTTTGCTCGGCGTGGTGCGGCCAGCCGAGGGCTCTTCTTGGGTGCCTCCTGTTGGTGGCGACAGTTCAGATGATCAACGGCCTGTGCCTAAGCATTCTAGGACAGCTAGGTGTGGATCACCTCCTCGTAAGTGCTGCCGTGTGTCATAATAGGGACTCTGAGGGCTCTTTCTCTGTGGAGTGCGATGTTGGTGTGCAGGGGGCTGGCGGGTGGCGTGGAGCTTGGCATGGACCCCTATTGTGGAGGTGGGGGCCAGTGCAGGAACTTGCCCGCGTTCGTTTGTTCTGGTTCCCCCATGGGGAGGTAGTCCCTCCTGTTTTGGATGATGGTAGGCCTCGTTGGTTCGTGCTGGTCCTGAAAAAGGATGCTCACCCGACTGATTCCGTGCCCACCCCTCCTGTTCCATCGGCGGCGGAGTTAACGCCTCCGATCTTCGTTTTGATTCCGGAGTACATGGTGCGCCCGCGTTGTCGTGGGGGACGTCCTACCTACCGATGAGGAGTGGCAGATTTGGATCTGTGGGGTCTGGTGTTTTGTTTCCGTGTGGTGGTTTCTTGTTCCCGGTTTCTGCTTGTTCCGGTGTTTATGCCTGTGGGTTTGGGTGTGTAGTTGTGGTTTGTTTTCCGGTTCCTGAGCGTTCCGGTGTGTGTCCGCGTGTGGCTGTGTTGTTTTTTGGTTTGTTTAACCTGTCATGCTTTTTCTTCTTCTTGGATTTATTGTAGTTAGTTTTATGAATAAAGTTCCATATTTCCCGTTTCCCGGTTCCTGTGTGTTCTGATTCTGTATTTATGTGCGATGGTTTTTTGTGCTTTCCGTGTAGCCCTTCTGGCTTGTTTTGTCTCCTATGTTTCAATATTCATTGCCATGTTTCCTTTGTGTCCATGGTTATGTTTCTGTGTATGTATTGTGTGTTTCCTGTTATGTGCTCTGTTTCATTGTCTTTGTGTTTATTTTGTTTATCTCTTACTGTTCTTGAGTCTATGTACCATGTTAGGTGTCCATTGTGAGGATTTTTGTTGCCCGGGTCTGGGTTTTTGTTTTGGTTCATCATCTAATGTAATTTCATATTGTATTTTTTGTACTTTTATAATTAAACAAAATAAAAAACTAACCTGTAATACAATTTTCCATACCATTATACTGCTGCAGTGTCTATGTTTATGCCTGTATGTATTGAAATTTCATTATGTGCACATGTATTATGTTGATATGTTATATTTCATTATGTTGTTGTTGAGTGGTTGAACTGCTTGTTGAGTGGTTGAACTGCTTGTTGAGTGGTTGAACTGCTTGTTGAGTGGTTGAACTGCTTGTTGAGTGGTTGAACTGCTTGTTGAGTGGTTGAACTGCTTGTTGAGTGGTTGAACTGCTTGTTGAGTGGTTGAACTGCTTGTTGAGTGGTTGAACTGCTTGTTGAGTGGTTGAACTGCTTGTTGAACAATTGACGGCTTGCCCCCCCCCCCTTCCCCCCCTCTCCTGTACTCACCTTTTTGTGCTTGTGGAGGTTGAGTTCGGGCTCTTGGTCCCGCCTCTCAACTGTAAATCAACTGGTGTACTCCTGTATGAATGAGTGTGTTAGCGACAGAGCAGCCAGCTTTTCGGAGGATATCTGTTCTTGTTTCTCTTGTATGTATATATATATATATATATATATATATATATATATATATATATATATATATTGTCATTTTTGTGTAGTTGAACATCTGTGTATGTTCCAGAGTTTGTTTTATTTACTTTAGTGTATTTCATGTTTTCTTTTCTTTACTCTGATGTGGGAACCGACCTGTGAGATTTATATTTATTTAATTTATATGAATTTATATTTACGTTAATTTATATACTTCGATAGCAATTGGTATGATGATAAGTGGACTGTATTTCTGCAATAATCTCACAAATCGATCCTCTACACATTAGGGGGGGTTTATATTGAATTTATATATATGCAGCCAATCAAACTACAGTATTAACTACATACATTGAAGAGGTTCCTTATCTTATTGTACAGCAGGCCTTAGTCCACCAGGTATAACCAGGATGTAGACACCAAATTATCCTCTTTGAGGTAGCTTCCATCACCCAGTAACTGGTACACAAAGCATGCTTCCTCGTCTTGACCTGTCAAAAGGGCGCTAGCTATGAAGCCAGAATCCTAATATATGACAGCTATATCAGAGAAAACACTGTACAAGGAACCATAAAGACCTAGGCTTAATTACCTTTAGTATGAGGCGATCTCGTATTCTAACCGGCTCACCCTATCTAATGACATTAATGGCCACAAATGATAGATAAATGGGTTTCGGCAGAACACTTAACTTGTATTTGTTGACAGCGTGTTGATGATGGTACACCTTTGGTTTCCATAACACTTCGTCCAAGTAAAATTAACAGGAGCCGAATTGCTCCCGTGCCTCTGGTCTAAGTACAATAACAATGGCTGACCACTCCCTCCTCACTGACGCTACTGGCCTACATTGTCCAGATGACAGTAAGTGATAGAAGGGTCACATTTACTCTATTTTAATTCTGATAATTAAGTTAATTTATATGAGATGTTTTTATGATGGTAAAGTCCAAAGACTAATGTATTTAAGAATAATTCCCACCATAATAGGTGGTGAATTTATAATAGTATGTGGTAATGATATCCCGTTTTCTATAGACGGAAATTCCACTACAAGTTACATTTTCTATGGGTTAACTTGTTTATACAACACAGCAATATTATCTGCCTGTATGATATTATTAAATGGTGTCGGATTTTCCGACATAATTCCCCGGGGGCTGCTCACGGGTCGAAGTCCTATTTAGAACAGACGAACACCGATACTCCTCCTTCGAATTATTAGATTAATTTGATGTTAGTAGTTAGTAATCACACATTTGTGCGTCTGTTCGTACAGGACGGATGTCCCGTACTAGAGTTGCAGGGGTTAGAAGTCTAATGCGATTTCATTTCCCTGTTAACTCTTGAAAGGCTAAAATTCAAGCCTAATTACATATTATTTAACCCAGAAGACTGAATGTGATCAAGTACTACAGTCAAGTATGATTCAGGGACTGCAGTGAGATCAGTGACATTAGATATAACTTGAAGTTTGTTCAGGTAACTGGTCACTGATATATAAACACTGAGGCCCATGGAATACATCTTGATTAAATAATAAATGTATCAAATCAGTCATCAGATTTATTGGGGTTTAATTTAGTTAATTGATTCAGAAGATTGAATAGCTCATCATTAAAGTAAAGTATGGTTCTGAGACTGCAGTGGGTTCAGTGACATTGGTCGCAGTGACTTGTAGCTGTTTAGGCTACTGTTCACTGATTTGCCACTGAGGCCTCATGAACTCATCTTCAGCTTTAAATGATGATACTAACATCAACCTCTGTTGGTATAGTCAGCTGTAATCTCCTTAGTATAATGCTACTGGAGAAATATAATCAGCTGACAAATTTAGATTTCTATTGGTATTGTTTATCTGCAGCCATAGGTCTCCTCAGGCTTGATACTGGGCCTGAGAGTAATTTACCTCCTGCAGAATTTAACATGGTTATGCCCTGATATTTAGTAGGGCTACCAATGAATTGATGGTAGTAGTCTGTCCCCACAAGGAGAGCTATTTGGCATTTGATTTGCTCAAATTTACCTGCAGCTGCTTGATAATAGCTTTCCAGGTCAGCATAATCAACTTGAGATTGTTGTGACAAATCTTCACATTTCTTGATCTGTCTTGTTAAGTGGCCTTTAAGACCTGCAAGGGTTCTTTTCATTCTCCCTGCATTATCCATACTGGCTAGTTGGTGAAGCCTTGTGGGACTTGTACTTGGGTCGCTCATAATACTGAACAAGCACTGATGGTAGCCTAGGGTAAAATTTCTGCACTCACTAGGCTGTAATCCTACCTCTACTAGAGGTTAGCACTTAAAATTAATACACATTATATATATACAATCATACACACTAATGATTTGAGTGATAAACCAGTGTC